CAACACACGAAATACACAGTATAACACAACACAGAAATACACACACAACACAACACACGAAATACACAACACAACACATGAAATACACACACAGTATCACACAACACAACACAGAAATACACACACAACACAACACACGAAATACACAGCATAACACAACACAACACAGAAATACACAAACAACACACAACACAACACATGAAATACACAAACAACACACAAAATACACACAACACACGAAATACACAGTATAACACAACACAAACAACACACACAAAATACACACACAACACACGAAATACACAGTATAACACAACACAACACAACACAGAAATACACACACAACACAACACACGAAATACACACACAACACAACACAACACATGAAATACACAAACAACACACACAAAATACACACACAACACACAACACACGAAATACACAGTATAACACAACACAGAAATACACACACAACACAACACATGAAATACACAAACAACACACAAAATACACACACAACACAGAAACACACAACACAACACACACAAAATATACACATGAAACAGAGACACACACGAAATATACACACAACACACACGAAACACACACACACATGAAATACACACACAAAACATGCACGAAACACACACAAAAACACACACGAAACACACACAAAACATGCACGAAACACACACGAAGTACACACACGAAACACACACGAAACACGCACGAAACACGCACGAAACACGCACGAAACATGCACGAAGTACACACACAAACATGCAAAACACACACGAAACATGCACGAAACATGCACGAAACATGCACGAACATGCACGAAACATGCACGAAGTACACACACAAAACATGCGCAAAACACACACGAAACACGCACGAAACATGCACGAAACATGCACGAAGTACACACACGAAACATGCACGAAACATGCACAAAACACGCACGAAAACACACACACAAAACATGCAGGAAACATGCACAAAACACGCACGAAACACACGCACAAAACATACACGAAACAACACACAAAAACACACACGAAACACACACAAAAACATGCACGAAACACACACGAAGTACACACACAAAACATGCGCAAAACACACACGAAACACGCACGAAACATGCACGAAACATGCACGAAGTACACACACAAAACATGCACGAAACATGCACAAAACACGCACGAAACACACACACAAAACATGCGCAAAAACACACACGAAACACGCACGAAACATGCACGAAACATGCACGAAGTACACACACAAAACATGCACGAAACATGCACAAAACACGCACGAAACACACACACAAAACATGCAGGAAACATGCACAAAACACGCACGAAACACACGCACAAAACACATACACGAAACACACACAAAAAACACACACGAAACACACACAAAAACATGCACGAAACACACACGAAGTACACACACAAAAACATGCACGAAACATGCAGGAAACATGCACAAAACACGCACGAAACACACGCACGAAACACACACGAAACACGCACAAAACACACGCACAAAACACACACGAAACACGCACGAAACACACACAAAACACACATGAAACACACACGAAACACACACGAAACACGCACGAAACACACATGAAACACGCACAAAACATGCACAAAACACACATGAAACACACACGAAACACACACGAAACACGCACGAAACACACACGAAACACACACGAAACACACACGAAACACACAAAACACACATGAAACACACACGAAACACACGCACAAAAACACACACGAAACACACACGAAACACACGCACAAAACACACACGAAACACGCACGAAACACACGCACAAAACACACACGAAACACGCACGAAACACACACAAAACACACATGAAACACACACGAAACACACACGAAACACGCACGAAACACACATGAAACACGCACAAAACATGCACAAAACACACATGAAACACACACGAAACACACACGAAAACACACACGAAACACACACGAAACACACACACGAAACACACACGAAACACACACGAAACACACACAAAACACACACAAAACACACATGAAACACACATGAAACACACACGAAACACGCACGAAACACACACGAAACACACAAAACACACATGAAACACGCAAAAAAAACGCACAAAACACACATGAAACACACACGGGTTTGTCAAAGCCTGATCCTGTCAGCTCGGCGTCAGACCTGTTCATATTTGGATGGAGACTCTGGAAAAATCAGGAGCCACAGAAGGCGACAGTCACAAAATGTCGTTGTGCAAGACACTTCACCCACATTGCCTAGTATGAACGTGGTGTGTGTGTGTGATGGTGATCAGTGGGACCGATGGCACAGATTGGCAGCTGCACTTCCATCAGTTTGCCGCCGGGTGTGGAGTGATTGATCTGTAAATTCTCTGTGACAAATGTCTGTGAAAAGCACTAAAGAAATAAAAAGTTACTTTACTTTTTTTTTTTGTCCCTGGTCAGGACCGTTGTTCCGTGTCCTGCTCCGACTGCTGCTCTGGAGTCTCTCTGTGTGAAAACTGTTTCAAAATGGCGGAAATGTGCGACTGTCAGCTCCCGTCTGTGCGCACCTGCCTCCGCTGCTCCTGCCTCGGCTCCACCTGCCCCGGCTGCACCTGCCTCGGCTCCACCTGCCCCTCCCCTTCTGTAAGTCTGCAAACCCACACACACACACAAAAACACAAACCCACACACACGTGTCCTGTCCTCAGAGAAACGTCTCCACTGTAGAATCTACAAAACCACACTCCAGTACGACCACGACAGGTTTAAACTCTGCCAAAAGTCATTATGTCCTGGTTTAGACCTGGTTTAGACCTGGTTTAGACCCAGTTCCTGTTACCATAGTAACACAACGCACACATTAGCAAACACGGCCTGATGCTTTTTTAGACAGTGTCAAACCTGATTCGAGGAGTTTGTTTTAGGAGTTTTATTTTCATCTAGAAGTTGAGAGTGAGCGAGTAACTTGAGGAACAGAGCTTCAGACAGAGCAGTGCCTCCAGTTAGCGTCACACCCACAGGGAAAGTATCAGTTCTCTGACACACAGACAGAGTTGAGTGTTGAGTGTTCAGTGCAGTTGAGTGTAAAGTGTAGAGCTCAGGATTGTGACGTCAAATCTCAGAACGTTCAGTGAGTCTAATTTGAAATTTGAGAGGCTTAAACTAAAGATACTGTTTATTCTGAAGTATTCAGACAAGACACTGTGGTACACGTACACAGAGGTACACGTACACAGTGGTACACGTACACTGTGGTACACGTACACAGTGGTACACGTACACTGTGGTACATGTATACAGGTACATGAATGTACAGTACGGACCCTGTACCAGGTTTATCGCTCCGTGTCTTTCTCACCACTGAACATACAAACATGGCACGTTTCAGTGGTAACGGCGGCTCTTTGGCGTCGCGTCCTGAGCTCTGCAGTGTGACCAGTGTGACCAGTGTGAACATGTGACAATGTTTGAGAGCAGGAGCTTTGGGACCAGTGTCCGTGTAGACGCCCAACTTCAGGAGGCAGGAACAAGACAGAGACAGATCTGCACCAGTCGATCCACCAGACTCCACTCTGCACCTGCCCCTCAGTCACCTGCCCCTCAGTCTCTTGTCCTCCAGTCTCCTGTGAGGTCATAAGCAGCAGATGTCCTTCACTCAGCTGGTCTGACTGTGTGAGAGCACCAGGGGACCCTCTCTGCGAATGCCAGATCTGTGTGAGTGTAGAGTGGGTACAGCGGGTACAGAGGGTGCAGAGGGTCTAGAGCAGGGGTCTCAAACTCAAATTACCTGGGGGCCACATTAGATAAAGTCTGAGTGAGGCTGGGCCGCATTGAGTATTCGATAAATAGCTGTTGCACGGGAAAAAAGGAGAGAGAAAGAACAACACGCAACACACTTTCTTAATCTTTAATAACAGTTCAGAACATGAAAATGTATTCAGAACGTAAGTTTAAACTGATACGTCTACTCTTCTTCTTTTGCCTACTCCTTGCTGGTTGAAACCTGGCTACGATTCATCTTGTACAGCTGAGAGATATTTGGCTTGCAGGAGGAAGCAGATCCTCAGGATAGATTGAAGATTCTCATCAGTGAGCCTTGACCTGTATGGTGCTTTCACACCAACAGTATTTGTTGCACCAAACGATCCATTCGAACCAGAAGTGGTTAGTTTGGTTCGTTTGCGTTGGTGTGAAAGCGTCAATCGGACTCTGACCCGAACCAAATCAGGCGGACCGACATCTCAAAAAAGAGGTGGTCTCGGTTCGCTTGAATCCGCACCAAATGACCAACTTTGGTGCGGTTCCTCTGGTGTGAACGCGAACCTTCTGCCTCCTGCGTCTCCTGCCTGTAATGACGCGCTGTACGACTCCAGCGCAGTAACAGATTGTTGTCCAGACGCAGACGCGATTCATTTTCGAAATATTTTACCAACAATGGCCAATAAAGAGAATGTCAAAAATGGAGGGTGTGTACTTCTGTTCAGGACCTGCACAGAGGTCCCCGTGTTCCCCGTGATCATGTAGGAACCAGCATTTGTTATTTTAGGCTTTAATTAACCAAATAATTTTATGGCAATAGGCAATCGCCCATTCAATTGATTCACCTTTAAAAAATGTCCTGCTTTTAGCCTAGTGTGAGAAATACAGTCGGACTAGATCCAAACCAGAGTCCCGAACCAGCAGGAGCAGCTCCGGTTCTGTCCGGGCTCAGATGACGTGGAGCGGGGAGTGAAAAGCGCTTTTCCCGGGAAGAACCAAATGCGGACACCAACTAAACTGGATTCACGTTCTGTCCGGATGCTTTGCACCACCTCGGAACCAGCCGCGGTTCTTGAGCGCGGAGGACAGGAGCAGCACAGACCTGTAGGTATAGTCCACAGAACATTCTCACTTTCCCCGCACGGAACACGGAACCAGCGCGCAGACGGCGGAACGTACCCGCTCAGACCCAGTCATTGCGCACTGGTCTTGCTCGCCACCGTCTGGAACCAGCACATGGAGGACAGAGCCTCCGGACCATCTGACCAACGCGCTTGTAGGACGACAGAAGACCAAGGACCAGACTCCAGCCCCGTCCTGAGGAGCTGCGCGCTACGCTGAACGCTGTTGGCTGCTGCTGTTACCCGAACTCAGAACTGATGCGGTGAGTTTGTCATTTGTCTCGTCATTCCCTTGTGGATCCTGCTTGAGCCGCAGTTTAGCGCTGAACAGTGGCGCTCGCATCAATCTTCCATGTGATCCCTGCGAACGTTCTGAACTTTCTTCCGGGGTTGTGCGTGCGTGATGAGGTTTTGGGCAGTGGAGGAAGTTCTGATGCATTGAGAAGAGGAGAGCCGCCAAAAACAAAAACCGAAACAAACTTTATGCATAAAATACTCTTCTGGAGCTTTATTTTATCACGGGTTCCAAGATAAACATTACAAACAATGGAAAATGTATCAGCAAAAGGTAGGGATCATATTCTTTAGTTTGTTGATCACTGCGATGAAGCTTGTTTTGCGAGTTCGGCTAACACCTGCAGCACTGATTGTAATAACCTAGTGTGTCCCCTGTCCCAGCAGAAAACCCGTGATTTGACCCAGTTTTATACAAGAAATGTACCACGCGTCCCTAGTTTTGCCCAATCTGATCTAAACTATGTCTAAGCTAAGACTAAACCAGGACTACATCAGGACTAAACCAGGACTACATCAGGACTAAACCAGGACTACATCAGGACTACACCAGGACTACATCAGGACTAAACCAGGACTACATCAGGACTAAACCAGGACTAAAACAGGACTATCATAGTTCTTGACTAATCTGATCCCTGCCAACATTAAAGAGCATAAATTATCATTTGTTTAGCAAAAATAAAAACTGTATTTACAAATGACCATAAAGCAACAGATGCCCCTAAGATTATGGCTGACACAAGAACAGAGCTGGGTTGTTGATATGATACACATACCTCGATACACAGGCCATGATACGATACGCTTTTGATACAGTGCACTTTCAATTCGATATGATTCAATACGATATATTTCAAATCAATATGATACAGTTCAGTGAAAAACAAAGGCTAAATCATGGCTGTGATACTAAGCAGGGCTTGAAATTAAGCATTTACAAGTACTTGCCCGGGCAAGTGGCTATAATTTTTTACTTGCCCGACACCCAGATCTACTTTCCTGGAAAAACAAAACAGTGCTCAGTTCATTATATATTTTTAAATATATGCACAGGCTAGTGTCGTAGTACTCTAGACCCTTTAGACTCTAGACCGTTTTTTTACGGTCTTGGTCTCGTCTCTCTTTAAAACATCCTGCCTGTCCACCTGCCTCACGTCACTGCTCCTTACCTTTTCACCTCTCACTCCTCCCTGCATATAACGCAAACGGGCTTCCTCCTCAATGTCCACAGATTAGAAGAGTAATACAAAATGCGAAGCAAAAACTAATCCAAATTTATGTTACATTGTTGGCACAAAGCAGGACTACTGCTACATGTGGTTGAAGTTTGCCTAATAAAAGTGCTAAAATGCATCTGTGTTTGTAACAACGTGCGTTTGATTAATGTGCAGAGGCTTGAATCCCACTGAAAAACCAGTAAGAGAATGTAACTCCAGTTAGAAACTTGACAAAACAGGTTTGAAAATCCTACCAGCTTTATTCACTTTGAAGCAGTTTTGTGTAAAATGCCAGTGGAAGTTCTCTTAAAGAAGGCCTTCTCAAACTGTGGATGAGAGTCCAAAAACAAAAAAAGGCGGTGTTCAGTGCAGTACAGTTTGCTTGGATTAATTTATTCTTAAATTCACATTTATCAGATAAAATGGAGATGGATTTCAAACAAATATTGATATATATGTGCTAAAATAACTGTAAAATACAAATAAATGTCAAAAATTACAAAGATGGTCTTGATTTGGTCTTGATGGGACATGGTCTCAGTCTTGTCTCTGTCTCGACCCTCAGAGGTTTTGGTCTAGTCCTGATCTCGGGACCCTGAGGTCCCAGACAGATTTTGGCAAATGAAAAAGTGTGTCCAAATTTGTATGTATACGAGATGAAAACGACTATCGTTGGTCTTCTCATTAAATAGTTAGGCCCGAGCGCCAGAGGCTGGCAAAGGGCCTATTAGTATCGCAAGGCGATGCTCCAAGTGGCCGAAAAATGGAATGGCGCGACGTGACTGGCCCGTAGTGACCAGGGACCCTCGCCATCACGTAGCAATGCACCTGAGGTTTCCAAAAATGTATAGTTTGTCGGCCAAAAAAAAGCAGAACATTGTTCTGGTATCGGTTGGTTATTCTCCTAACCAACTCACCCATTTTTCACCCACTGAACAATGACGAAAAGTCCTGAAATTTTGCCATCTGGTAAAACTCGCGCTTCTCTAACTTTTGGCTATTTTTATTTTACAAAAATAAATAAAATGGCTCGTCAGCGCCACCAAATGACTCAAAAATGCATTAGGGAATACGAATGACACACAAAAAAATTTGCATGTACAATCATAAAATTTGACACAGAAGTCGATCATGTCAAGACAAGGAAAAATATTATTACGCCAACACCGTGCGCTCCACTAGGGGGCAGCAATATTGGCTTAAAGTTTGCTAAGCTGTTACGAACTCCTCCGAGGGCGTTCACCCGAACGAGCTCAAATTTGGTCCACATCATCTCAAGACGTAGAACATCAAAAGTTATTCAAATTGTTCACACACGTCTTACGATCTCTGAGCAGTGAAGCAACAAAAATGCACACAATTTTGGAGATTTACAAATTGCTCCCATTTGCTCAAACGAACTCCGATTTCAATGAAATTTGAAACATTTGTTAAACTCTCTGCCCTGAAGCTACTTCATGTGAAAATTATTAATTTGGCGCATTAGCGCCCCCTATAGATTGAAACAAATTTGAATATGTGAGAATATCATTTGTTCCCAAATAGTCGTTCAAAAATTTCTGAAATTTTGCACAAAATTCCATTTTGGCATCCTGATCCAAAAGTCCATGACACCCATGTCATATTTTTTATGGCGTTGCCATAGCGATGACATAAACTCTCCATTGGTAAAATCTACTAATTCTGGCACAAACTTTGGCTGATTTCATTCAAATTCACACCTCGACCCTGAACACATTTATATAAGAGAATCTCAGGTGGGCGCAATAGCGCCCCCTAGGGAAATTGCACGGTAGTGCCAAAATTTACTTTGTTGTAGACATATAAAATTTGGTACACAGATTCATGACATAGTCTCGATCAAAAAAGTGTAGGACGACCCCATGCCATTTCCCCATCGTGTTGCCATGGCGACAGGCTAAACATCTGACCTCGCCAATAGGCCCGACAAAAACTTTGGTCTAGCCAAACCAAATTTGGTACACAGATGCATCATGGAAATAGGAACAAAAAAGTATATTACGTGGTTGCTAGGCAACCAACAGGAAGTCGGCCATATTGGATTGATCGGGCGACCTGGCGACAAAGGGACAAATTCCTGTCCTCATATTTGAACGAACTCGTCCTCGGGCGTTTGACCCAGACAGAATCATTCTGTTTCATCTAGACAAGTGGGACATTAAAATTTGTTAAAAGCTTTTTAAAAGGTCAAACGGTGTGACCATCAAACTTCGAAGCCTGATAATTTGCACAAACTTTGGCCAATTTCACTCATATTTTAATCGTAGGTTCACACCCCGACCCTGAACAGATTGATGTAAAAAAATACAAAAATGGGTGCAATAGCGCCCCCTAGAAAATTTGTATATAAAAATACGGTTTTATTTGTCACAGTTATACAACATTTGGCACCCACATTTGTGACATGGTCTCGATTAAAAAACTCAATGATGCTCACATCCCATTTACATTGTGTTGCCATGGCAACAAGCCAAAATTGTATCCTTGCCAATGGGACGTCCTTACACAAACGTTGGCGTAGCCAAACCAAATTTGGTATCCACATGCATCATGGCAATAAGAATAAAAATGTATATTGTGACCACGCCCCTTTACAAACCGGAAGTCCGCCATCTTGGATATTTTCTTTTGCCAAATTTTGAAAATTGCAGGGTTAAATTAAGATTTTTAGGGCTAGGGTTGGGGCTATGGTTAGGATTACGATTAGGGTAAGGTTTAAGCTTAGGCTTATTAGGGTCAGTGTGAGGTGCGGCGTTTGCGGGGCGCGGCGCAAGCACGAGCGAGGGCCGATCATTGCCGCTAGCAATGATCGGCCCCTAGCAAGAAGTTCTACTGCCAGAAGGACTCAGCTGAAAAATGGTTGCAATTTTGTGGACAAACTTTTACTAAACTACTTTCTAAGACGCGAAACTAAACATGTCGCTATGAAAGAATTGTTGAACTCTTTGACGAGAAACAGGAAGCAGCAATAAACTCTCCTTTGTTCAGTTGACATTCACACTAGAGCCCTGCAGTCCCGCGGGCGCAACGCAAACCACTGCGACGCGGGACACATTTTGAAAGCTCGCTGCGGGAGCGGACGGGAGGGATGATAAACTGCAGTCCCCCAAACTAAATATGAGTATAACGTAAAATATAAAAAAGATGAATGTAATGTTAAGCAGCAGACCGTCCCCCTTCCCATACGCCGCGCAGACTAACCCACCCGTCACTTACGCCGCGCAGACAGTCCATCCTTCCGTACAGCTTTCCTTTCGATTCTCCGTGTTTGATAGAGTTTAAGAAAGCAAAGGTTCCCATCCTGCGGGACAAAATATCACAGGTGCGGGCGGGAGCGGGACTGAAAATTACAATTCTTTGCGGGAGCGGGTGGGAGCGGGATTCAAAATTCTGTGCCGCGCAGACCTCTAATTCACACGCAGCGCTGAGCAGCAGAACAAATAGAATAAAATATCAAAACTGAATCAGGCACGATCAGGGTTCTCACTCTTTTTCACTGACAAAAAACTTTCAAAACTTTCCTTTTCATGACCTAAAATGAATTTTCCATGACTTTACAGCACCTACATGTGTAGAACTGATCAAACTTTTAGGACTAAATCTGAAATGTTAAATCTTTCCACTTTGGAATTATAGCTTTTGAACGTTTAAAATCCTGTCAGTGCATTTATTGTCGTCTCTTTTAAACAAAAGGCTCAGACGTTCAGAAATAAACATAAAAGTCTATTGAGAATTTAACAGAACGATGGAGTTGCAGGAAAGAGACACTAAAATTCCATGATTTTTCCAAAACTTTCATTACATTTTCAATTTTCATGACTTTTCCAGAATTTCCATGACTGTGGGAACCCTGCACGGTGACTGTTTTTTTTTTTTTTTTTTTTAATTAAATAAAATATTGTAAATAGAGATTGAAGTTAGTTTTTTTTTTGTTTGTGACTAAAACGGAAAAATTACATAACAAACTGTTTTCACATTTTATTGTTTTTCGTTCTTAATTGAAATTCAAAGGAACCAACGGTGCATGGACCAATTTTTATTTTTTTTTATTAGAAATTTATTCAGTGCTTTTTTGTCCACATAAATCATAATATACATGCCCTGTTTATTTATTTATTTTTCCCCCCACACATTAACTCAATATAAATGTAGAAAGTAGATTTCTAAAAAAAAAAATAATAATAATAAAATAAAATAATAAAAATAATAATAATAAAATAAATAACATAATAGCAATAATAATGATGATATATACATACATACACATACATACAATATGTACACCATATATACATACACCACATTTTATATATGTATATATACACATATACATACTCATACATACAAATAGATAAAATAAATAAATAATAAGTTAGTAACTTTAAAAAAAAATAAAAGGGAGGCAGTCGGGTTACACATTCACACAGTACATTTTAGAATACACATGTGTGTGTATGCACGGACCACTTTAAAATCATAAGTTTGATTTTGTTGTTGTTGTGTCGACAGTGTTCTAACCTGGACTGCGCCTGCACCTGTCAGCCGCCGGAGTGCGACACCTGCAACTGCCTCTGCTTCGAGATCAGAATCAAGTGAACCAGCGCCACACGGACACAGAACCCGCGGACACGGGACCCGCGGACACGGGACCCGGGGACACGGGACCCGCGGACACGGGACCCGCGGACACGGGACCCGCGGACACGGGACGACACAGGACCCGCGACCCGCGGACACGGGACCCGCGGACACAGGACCCGCGGACACAGCACCCGCGGACACAGGACCGCACTCGAAACAGCATTTTCATGTTTTACATTCTATGTCTGTATTCGTTTTATTATTTGGATAAGAGAATTTCACTGGGACGAGAGCAGAAAAACACGAGCGAGCTGAAAATGTTGTAATTTTTTGGGGTATTTCTGTGTAAAAAGTCAGATTCAGCTCAAGATTCACAAGCTCATTTATATTCATTTATATAAACACATCACATTGTTTCTTAGTATTTTTTTCTGCATAAATAGTAGTTGGTTTTTTTTGCAGGTGTAGTCAGATACACAGAGGTACAGGCCGCGTCTCATGTCTCTTTCCTCGCTTCCTTCTCCTTGATTCCTCTCCTCGAGCCAACATTTTTCCGCTGTCAATCAAATGTGCCATATTAAGTGGTGTCCCAGAGAAAACCCCTGAGGGAAGAAGGAGAAAACCTCAGGGAAGTAAAGAGGAAACATGAGGGAAGGGAGGAGGAAATGTGAGGGAAGAGAGGAGGAAATGTGAGGGAAGGAAGGAGGAAATGTGAGGGAAGGAAGGAGGAAATGTGAGGGAAGAGAGGAGGAAACGTGAGGGAAGGAAGGAGGAAATGTGAGGGAAGGAAGGAGGAAATGTGAGGGAAGAGAGGAGGAAACATGAGGGAAAGAAAGAGGAAAGCTGAGGGAAGGAAGGAAACATGAGGGAAGGAAAGAGAAAAGCTGAGGGAAGGAAGGAAACATGAGGGAAGGAAAGAGAAAAGCTGAGGGAAGGGAGGAGGAAACATGAGGGAAGAGAGGAGGAAACGTGAGGGAAGGGAGGAGGAAACATGAGGGAAAGAAAGAGGAAAGCTGAGGGAAGAAGGAAACATGAGGGAAGGAAAGAGGAAAGCTGAGGGAAGGAAGGAAACATGAGGGAAGGAAAGAGGAAAGCTGAGGGAAGAGAGGAGGAAACATGAGGGAAGAGAGGAGGAAACGTGAGGGAAGGGAGGAGGAAACGTGAGGGAAGGAATTAGGAAACATGAGGGAAAGAAAGAGGAAAGCTGAGGGAAGGAAGGAAACATGAGGGAAGGGAGGAGGAAACGTGAGGGAAGCGAGGAGGAAACGTGAGGGAAGGAAGGAGGAAACATGAGGGAAGAGAGGAGGAAACGTGAGGGAAGGAAGGAGGAAACATGAGGGAAGAGAGGAGGAAACGTGAGGGAAGGAAGGAGGAAACATGAGGGAAGAGAGGAGGAAATCTGAGGGAAGGAAGGAAACATGAGGGAAGAGAGGAGGAAACGTGAGGGAAGAGAGGAGGAAACGTGAGGGAAGGAAGGAGGAAATCTGAGGGAAGCGAGGAGGAAACGTGAGGGAAGAGAGGAGGAAACATGAGGGAAGAGAGGAGGAAACATGAGGGAAAGAGTAGGAAACATGAGGGAAGAGAGGAGGAAACGTGAGGGAAGGAAGGAGGAAACGTGAGGGAAGAAGGAGAAAACGTGAGGGAAGGAAGGAGGAAATGTGAGGGAAGGAAGGAGGAAATCTGAGGGAAGGAAGGAAGGAAACATGAGGGAAGAGAGGAGGAAACGTGAGGGAAGAGAGGAGGAAACATGAGGGAAGGAAAGAGGAAAGCTGAGGGAAGGAAGGAAGGAAACATGAGGGAAGAGAGGAGGAAACATGAGGGAAGAGACGAGGAAACATGAGGGAAGGAAAGAGGAAAGCTGAGGGAAGGAAGGAAACATGAGGGAAGAGAGGAGGAAACATGAGGGAAGAGAGGAGGAAACGTGAGGGAAGGAAGGAGGAAACGTGAGGGAAGAAGGAGAAAACGTGAGGGAAGGAAGGAGGAAATGTGAGGGAAGGAAGGAGGAAATCTGAGGGAAGGAAGGAAGGAAACATGAGGGAAGAGAGGAGGAAACGTGAGGGAAGAGAGGAGGAAACATGAGGGAAGGAAAGAGGAAAGCTGAGGGAAGGAAGGAAACATGAGGGAAGGAAGGAGGCCAAGACCGAGACAAGACCGAGTCCAAACCTGCTCAAGTCCGGAGACGAGACCAAGACTGTTAAAAAGTGGTGCTGGGGCTGATCTCGAGACCAAGACCGGGTTTACGACACTTGAGTTTACGGTTGTAAATATTTAATTTAAGCCGTAGATTTTCTTGAGTCGTACATCGTAACATCGACTCATCATTTTCCCAGTTTTTCCTTCCTGTATAAAAACAGTTTAGTTATGATTCTTTTTAGGTCCCACACACCAGACAAAAGCCGTTTAGAGTCTTTTAAAACCTTGGCTCCAGATTTTTGGCCTGTGATTTGGTGATTTGTGAAAAAGGTGCAGGGTTTTTGTCTTTTTGTCACGTGAATCTGATGTTTCCTCTGGACTTTCGCTCGGCTCCGGAAAAACACTGAAACATCAAAGTGTTCACAATATTCCTGTCGTTTAATGCCGCACTGCGTAACTTTTCTCTTGGGAGCGCCTGCTTGTTTCCACGGAGATGTTACCGCTTTGCTTGGAATATCCCGCAGTCAGTGTTGGGAGGGTGACTTTTAAAATGTAATCCCCTACAGATTACAGATTACAGATTACATACACCAAAATGTAGTTTGTAACGGAATCCATTAAATTACTTAAAGTGAGTAATGTAATCTGATTACTTTGGATTACTTGATTTGCTGTAGAGAAACAAAGACGAGGAAATCTTCACATAAGAAGTTTTGTCTGATAAAAGAAAATAAAAAGCCCCAAAACTTTACTGAACCAAATTAAAAATATTATTGATAAAAGAAGAAGAAACACGTCCACACAGCAGGATTTAGTCCTGTTAAATCCTGTTTTAGACCTGGTTTAGACCTGGTTTAGTCCTGGTTTAGACCTGGTTTAGACCTGGTTTAGTCCTGGTTTTAGACCTGGTTTTAGATCTGGTTTTAGATCTGGTTTAGACCTGGTTTAGACCTGGTTTAGATCTAGTTTAGACTTGGTTTTAGACCTGGTTAAGATCTCGTTTAGACCTGGTTTAGATCTGCTTTAGGCCTGGTTTAGTCCTGGTTTAGTCCTTGTTTAGACCTGGTTTAGACCCGGTTTAGACCTGGTTTAGATCTTGTTTAGACCTGGTTTAGATCTAGTTTCGACCTGGTTTAGTTTCCAGCAATGAGTGGAATTCCTGAAAAAAAATTAAAAAATTAAAAAAAAGGGATATAGCCCAAAATGTGAAAACAGGAAAGTACCTCTGTGTAATCCATTTATTTCAACAAAGTAACTGTAATCCAATTACCACTCACTGAAACAGTAACTGTAACTGAATACAGTTACTCATCATTTGTACTCTGATTACATAACTCCAGTACTTGTAATCTGTTACTCCACAACACTGCCCGCAGTAGAGTATTAAACACTTATACCTCCGATGAACAGGTCGGATCTGTGGAGACTCGCTGCTCACGGTAAAAACAGTAATAACACGAACCTGGATGAAATGAACGGTAGATGTGTTCAAAGCCACACTGCGGAACATTCCAGGCAAAGAAATCACCATGGAGACAAGCAGGCGGTAAACTCCCATCAGAAAAGTTGCATAGTGCGCCTTTAAAATAAATGTTAAATGTTATTCTGGATTAAATTTTCAGTATTTGTATGTGTCATGTTTTATTCTTTTTGCTGTTCAACCTTTTTGGACTTTACAAACTGTGATTAAAACAGTTTTGTGTGTTTTTTTTTATATATTTTTGTATGAGTTTTCAGAAATAAAACCTAAAAATGCCTTAATTGTCTTATTCTACGTACACGTTGTCATTAGTGACGGCGAGATGAAGCCCCACAAAACTCTGAAGCGTTCAGTCTATTTACTCGACTCTTGAGCCGACGCTTCAAGGTGTTTCATTTGCTCCACTGCGCCAACAAGTGGACAAAAAATGTATAACAGGCAGAGTGAAAATAGAACAATCAACATGATAATTAAAGATTTATACTGAACAAATGAATGATTAAATATTTGAATGTTTGTGATTTCAACATAAATTGTGATTTTATGAACCTGGAGTCTGTGTTCATGATATAACGGTCGGGTTAAAAGAAAAAGTAGGAACAAATTGGAGACACCAAAGACTTCACCTGATTTTGTATTTATTTTTTTACAAGAAATATCTTAGAGCGGGGGAAACACTGTTGTCAAATGTGTGTATTTAGTCATTTTTTATTTAATTACATCATTATTACTATATACGGAAGCCCTGAGAGGCAAAAGAAAAATAAAAAAGAGGTAGGTCATTTGGGCTCTATTTTTTAAGTGTTTTTTTTTTTTTTTTTCACCAACTCAAAAAACAAATAAATAATTTTCTACAAAAAAAAGTTTCTAAAAAAAAATAAATAAAATCTACAAATTTTTTTTTTCTACAATTTTTTTCTACAAAAAAATTCAACTTTTTTATTTATTTTTTTTGTCACTGTTGATGTGGCTGATTACGACGGAGTAAAAGGGTCAGATAAAAAATAATAAAAAATGCTGGTGCTACGAGAATAAAGTCGTAACTTTTCAACATTAAAGTCATAATATTAAGAGAATAAAGTCGCAGCCAGAAAAAGTAATAATTTTACGCAAATAAAGTCGTAATTTTACGAGAATAAAAGTCGTAATTTTACGAGAATAAAGTCGTAATTTTACGAGAATAAAGTCGAAGTTAAAATAAAGTCGTAATATTATGAGAATAAAGTTATAATATTATGAGAATGAAGTCGGAATAAAATCAAAGTCAGAGTGAAAAATGCGGCAGAAGAAGAACCTTGTTTTTCAATATAAAACCAAAAATAAGAAAATGAACAACAATTTTCTTCATTATTTGAGCTTCCGGACTGAACCAGGACTAAACCAGGACTAAACGAGGTCCGAGACCAGACCGGGACTGAGACCAGAACTTAGACAAGGACTGAATCAGGGACCAAGACTGAGACCGGGATCAGACAAAACTGAAAATGGTTTAGTCCTGGTTCAGTCCTGGTTCAGTCCTGGTTCAGTCCTGGTTCAGTCCTGGTTCAGTCCGTATGCGGCGCATTAGTCCCGCATCGCATTTTAAAGTCACGTAAACGCCATTTCCCATTTCCGTGACTTAAACCAGGACTAAACTAGGATTAAACAGTTTTCAGTCCTGGTCTGGTCCCGGTCTCAATCCTGGTCTTTCTGGTTTGGTTCCAGACTTGATTTAGTCCTGATTCAGTCCTGGTTCAGTTGAATGAACGAATGATACATGGATTTTTCTCCTTTACAAAATGCTCCAAATTCTCCATTCTCCACTCGGTCTGACTTTCTGAGCAGCTGATTTTCTCCTAATATTATGACTTTATTTTGACTACGACTTTATTCTCATAAAATTACTACTTTATCCTTGTAAGTTTACGACTTTATTCTCGGAAAATTACTACTTTATTCTTGTAAGTTTACGACTTTATTCTCGGAAAATTACTACTTTATTCTTGTAAGTTTACGACTTTATTCTCGGAAAATTACTACTTTATTCTTGTAAGTTTACGACTTTATTCTCGTAAAATTACTACCTTATCCTTGTAAGTTTACGACTTTATTCTCGTAAAATTACTACTTTATTCTCGTAAAATTACGACTTTTTCTGGCTTCGACTTTATTCTCATAATATTACGACTTTAATGTCAAAATGTTACGACTTTATTCTCGTAGCACCAGCATGTTTTTTTTTTTTTTTAATCTGACCCTTATACTCCGTCGTAGCTGATACTTTCCTAGTATATTCCTGTAGACACCAAACTTCAGCACTGGTGGTGGAACATTTTCTCCTGGTTTTTGGCGCTGGGTCAGGACATGGGAGGCTGGGGTTCAAAACTCACCTGTTCCTTTTTTTTTTTTTTTTTTCCCTTCATCAGCCACATCAACGGTGGAGAAAAAAAAAAAAATAAAAAAACCCACAAGAAAAAAAAAAAAAAAAAACAGAAGACAAAAGACAAAAAAAAATATTGTAGAAATGTTTTGTTTTGATTTGTTTTTATTATGATTTGAATGTATTTCTTCTTCTGTAAAACACTTTGAATGACTTTGTGTACGAGTTGTGCTGTACAAATAAACTTGCCTTGTCAACTGCGTCCACTGTATCTACAGTCTACGGTCAGACCAGAGCAGTTTGACCTGAGTCGACCTGAGTCGACCTGAGTCGACCTCACACGGGGTCGGAGGAGGCAGTGTTTTATCCAGTTGTTATTATTGCTCCGCGACGAGGTGTATTGTCCAACGACACAACAACAGTGATTCATTGTGTGAGTGATGTTAGTCGTTCAAATGACATTGAAA